GAAGTCAAACAACAACGAGTGCTGGCGAGGATGTGGGGCAAAGGGAACACTTGTACATTGTTGGTGGGACTGCAAATTGGTGCAGCCAATTTGGATAGCAGTATGGAGATTTCTTGGAAAGCTGGGATTGGAACCACCATTTGACCCAGCTATTCCACTTCTCGGTTTACTCCATATTTCTTATCCTATCCTTCTTTCAGCCCCTTATTCATTCCTTACTTAATTAATTCATTTTCTCACCACAAACTTAAGGAGAATTTACTATGTTCCAGGTACTGGTGGTCTTGTGAAAAACACAGAAAAAAAAACATTTGCCTTCTTAAAACTTGTGGTAATCACACAATCACATTGTGAGGGTTAAGATATTGAACTTTGAGAAAAACTGTGAAAGGGGCATATTATATAGTCCTGGGATGTATTCTGGGTGGAATAGACTTCAGAAGAGATATGGGAAGATGGATAGGAGTTAGATAATTGAGAATCTGTCTTGTGGGGGGACTGGGGAAGTGAGAATATTATAGGAAGATGAACTGCATGTATAGAAACAGTGTATTAAAGTTTTCCAAAGAAACAGAACCAAAGGAAGATTAGGGTTATGTATACATAGCATGTACATATGGATAAATAATGTATCCATCCTTTCTGTAAATACATATGCATATAGATAAAGATATATGTATCTAATCACTCCACATAAAGATTATGAGCATATTCATGTTTTTATATATATACACACACATATATATAGATGCTATATATATGTGACATAGATAGGTTTATACATATGTATGACATGTTATATACATATGGTATATACATTTGTATGTACATATATAGGTATGTGTATATATAGGTATACATATATATGTATTTATGTGTGTGTGTGTGTGTGTAAAATTTCTGAAACTTAAAATATTACCAAACATATACAAGGACTTCAATACCACTACAGTCCATCTAAATATTTGCTAAGTGACTAATTGTCAAGTACAGAGACAGCATGTTTACGTTGGACAAAAGGAGCATTCACATAGAGGAAAAGCACATCCAGCTCTTCAGAATGATGTGCAATTAAAATTCACAAATTGCTTGTTTTTGAAGTTTTTACTTAGGATTTTTAGACCATGTTTGACTGCATTTGACAGGGGGTAACTGAAGCCATGGAAAGTGAACCCACTTTCAAGGGCAGATTACTATATACGTATATTCTCATTTACCTATGCAAGAGAGATTTCAGGAAATTGAGTCACCTGATTGCATGAGGGATGGCAAGTTTGCAATCTGTAGGTCAGCTGGCAGTCTGGAAATTCAGATAAAAGTAAGCATTGCAATATTGAGATCCAAATAGTATAGAACAGGCTGAGACTCAGGCGGGAGTTCTATGTTTCGAGGAGCATCCTCTGCATCAGAAAACCTCTCTCTTAATGAGGGTGGTGTGCTCTCCTTGACTAATGTAAGTATTAATCACATCAAAAATTACTTTCATGGCACCACTTAGGCCAGTGTTGGGTCAAAGAGCTGGGCACCATAGCTTAGCCACATTGACACTTAAAATTCACAATTTCAAACACCAATGGAACATGACACTCTCAGAGACTAGAAGATGCCTGATGTAACTGGAGAAGGAAGAAAAACTCAGCTCTGTCTCCAGAGAAACGAACCATGATCAGACAGCACAGCCTTAATCAACAGTTGGGAGCTTACCCTCAATCTTAGTTGTAAGGGCTTTAATCTTCACTCTGCCACAAGGGAATGTGGGCTGGATTTTTAAGGAGGAGAGTTTTAAATATAGAGCAATGTCCCTGTGGCTTTAATGAGTAACATCGTTCTTGAATGAAGTTGGCTTCTACAGTACTAAAATTAATAAATTGAGTTCACTTGTCTATAATTTCAAAGTTATAAAATCACGTTTAATTCTAAAATCACGATAGGGGTAGAATGATGGTTTTCTTTTATTATTTTCCCCTGACCTCTGCTTCACATAACCCATTTAGTTGCCAGACTATTTTGCCCCTCTCTCTGTTTTAATATGAAGATTCTAATTGATATTAACCCTACAAAGCCAATGTGAGCTTATTAACCACTTTGGCCTTGTGCATTATTCAAGCTCATTAGTCATATGATGTTCATCTGGTCATAGTGATCATGATCATTTCAGAGGATATGGTAAAGAATCTAAACTTTTCTATAAGGGTCATGTTCCAACATGAATTACAAAATACTTTCTGCATTCAAACATGATTTTCTCACCTTTTGTTCTCAGTTCACTTTGGTGTGATAATTTGCTCTAACCCAAGAGTGAAAAGGGTATTCTAATTAATCTGAGTGAAAATATTCTAGTAAGTCCCAGAGATATGACTTCTTTTGCTGTCCAGTAGAACTTTCTGCAATGATGGAGATATTCTGTATCTGTACCGGTAGCTGTTAGCTGTATGTATCTACAGAGCATTTAAGATGTGACTAGTGACACTGAGGACTCAAATTTTTTAATCTTATTTAATTTTAGTAGTTTTGATGTACATTTACATAGCTTTGTGTGTCTAGTGGCTTCTATGTTGCACTACATAACTTGACATTGTGGCACCAGAGATCCTTGCTCGGTCAGTGTTGTCCTTTCTCATGGGAAGAGTTTGATGGCTTATAAAACATACCTAACCTAAGTTGTCCTCTGCTTGATCACTAGTCTGAACTCCCCAAATTCTATGTCTGATGGCCATATATGTATTTCTTGGGCCTCTACTATTTGTGTCCTCCAGTCTGCACTTTGGAGGCAATTCTTGTAGTCTAGGTAGGAGTTGTGATTGGAATTCTGAGTATGCTTTTGATTGTATATAGAAACTAGCAGGGAATTGGGATAGGCTAGAGATGGGAAAAGAAGGGAGATAATCAAAGGATCTACTCTCCCTGAGCCAAGCCAGTAATTTATGAGAAGTCAAAACCTAAACTTGGCTTTTGAGCCTCAGATTCTGAAGAGGCATGTGGATTGTGAAACCCTTACCCATGAATCTTGCTCAGGACTGGGTCCAGGGGGAATATACCAAGCAGAGATAGAGGAAGGAGCATTGATTATTAGGTGGTCAATGGCTTACCTTGGAAATGTAAAGAGGAAATGAGTCTCCTGTATCTCCTAAAGAAAAAAGAGAAAAAGTAGGTACAATTTTTTTTGTGTGTGGACTTATTAAGTGATTAGAGAAGAAGCTTAAGAGAGTATAATAAGCAAGGATTTATTCATGGCTGTGTATTTTTCAAGGTTCATTATTTTATTGAACAGTCATTAGCAATGTATGTTAATTTTAAATATTTAGAAATAAACTGTATGAGTCTCCATGTATACTCTTGCCTCAGGCCCCCAAAAGGTGAGAGATGAACCTGGTGCCTATACTGAAAATCCCTATAATGATTATATCATTCTTAATTCATATTTTCATTTTTTTCCTTTCCCACATTGTGGGATAATTTGTTCTTTAATGACTAATACATATTTGACATGTAACAAATCCTGAATAAATAAATGAGTGTTGAAGGGAAGAATAATGTCCCACAAAAATCACCCATTTTTTTTCCTGTCATCATATGGACAGGAAGAGTGGTCAATTCCCTAAATATTTATTTTTTAATCTTTAAATTGTTAGTTTCTGAATGCTAATCATTTTCTCCTTTATCAGTCTAACTTGTAGATGTAAGAACTTCTTTCAGCATTTTTTTTTACAAACACCTTTGTGTGGAGGAAGGAAAGAAAGAAAACAGACTGTGTCCAACTTATGATAGTTTGACTCTCAGTATTATATTGATCTGAGATCCATACACATTTGAGAGAAATGGTCCATCACACTTTGAATTCTGATCTCTCCCTGGGCATGTGATATGTCATATATACCTTGATACTTTCTCCAGATGCAGGGCAGCAGCAGCTGCCCCTCCCAGTCAGCTCTGTGATCAAAAAGTATACAATTGGCCATCTACAATATACTGTGTTGCTAAATGATGATGCATGCTAAGTTAGGTGTATTTGATGACTTTTTTTCACTTAATAGTTTTAATTTTTAAGGTGACTGACTCGTAGTGGGGTAGGGAGAGGGAGCATGGGAGGAATGGATGAACTCTAGGTAGGGCAGAGGGGTGTGAGGGGAAGGGTGGGGGAAGGGGGTTAGCAATGGTGGTGGAATATGATGGATATCATTATCCAAAGTACATGTATGAAGACATGAATTGGTGTGAACATACTTTATATACAAACAGAGATATGAAAATTGTGTTCCATATGTGTAATAAGAATTATGATGCATTCCACTGTCATGTATTTAAAAATAAAAGCAATTAAAAATAGTTTTAATTTTATCCGGATATGACCCTATTGTAAAACAGGAGCATTTGTATGACATTTAAGAAATACTTTTCACCAAAAGTATTTCTTAAATGTCAGCTGTGTATCACACTCTGAGATGTACAGTGAATTCATGTTCCCTCCTCTCTACATATTGTATTTTGTTCATTTATTCAAAAATGTCTGTAGGGAGACTTTCTAGATATACTTCTATATGGAGGCATAAATTTTACCTTAAATAATAGAAATTATGTCCCTTTATCACTTCTGTGATGAACCATATTATTATATTGAGGGGAATTTTTAGACATGATATGTCATTCTTTTTCAATTTCAGAATGTTGTCGACATAAAGGTACTCGCTTTACATCTTGGAAATAATGGAATGATTCATGGCTTTCTAATTTATTTAATACCAGATTTTAAATTATCATTTTATATCTCAGCAACCCTATGTCAAACATGCCACATGTGTTCTTCTTGCCTGTAGTTACTTCCATTCTGACTTGTCACATTGAATTCCACATAAATCAGTTTTACTGCTATGAAATAGCAATGAACTATCTAAAGAGGAAATTAAGAAATGATCCACATTTGCAACAGCATTTGCGAAGGACCTACCCTTTCTAATTATTATCAGGAAAGTATCTGAATAATCTTACCTTGAATATTTGTTGAATTTGAGTTGGTAGTTGAATCTACTTGATATTAGTATGGCAGGAAAAAAAAGTGGCATTTCTCAGAAAATAGAACCCACCTCAGAGGAAGACCAAGGAAATTACGATGGATGCATGGATGAGATGCTTCCCTCACATTTAAAGTCGATTTAAAATCCAATAAGATATTTTACCTAATCTTAGCTTTCTTCCTGCTTTTCTGCATTAATTTGTGATTTTACATTTTTAAATACTAATCATAATTTTAGCACTTTTGGATAGTTACATATTTAATATGGATTTCTTAATAGCCGTACTTCTGGGCGAAGTAAGATCAAATTATCCTTTAATACATTTGTCAAGTAATTGAGTTGCATCCATGTGCTTTCGTTCCTCCCATCTAACATTACTTGTCTTCATGACTCTTCTGAACTTTTCTCAGTGTAATGGAATGGCTCCAGTTATGTTTCCCAAAGCCCCGTGAATGTCACTGTCCAGATAAATGAAACGGTTTGGAAGACTCTTAAAATCTACAGGGGACAAAATATGGGAAGCCCTTCCTGTATCACATAGTTCCTTCTGTGACACCTGGGCTCCTTTAGTTATCTGGAAGAGTCCTTCACTGTCAAAACACACATTAAGCATATTTACTTCTCTAATTACCGTAGCAAAGAGAGTCTTCTCAAAGAAACATGGGTAGGAGTCTCCAAACCAACAGCCAGCCAAAGGAGAGGAGTGAGCTATTACTCAGAAACTTGTCAAACAGAAATTTGCAAGCAGTTTTGCAAGTTCAGAGGCAGTCCTGGTTAAAGTGCTAGGCTTAGTGTCAAAAGATCAGGCAACCTGGGAAAATTATTATAATTGAAGTTTTTAGAGTCATTTTAAAATTCTTTATGTTTCATAGAAACATATAGTGAGATGAAAAGCACAATGATTATAAAATTGACCAAGGACTTCCAATTTCCTACTTGAAGTCATTAAACAGTTCAATAACATTCTTTTATTAAAGCAATTTCCCATTGGATTTTTACAGGAAGGTTCATTTGAGGGTGACTAATCTTTATTTAGGACCTTTGGATGAACTACTGCCCCCGCCCCCTGTTCTTAGTGTGACTTCCAGACTCTATGTAACAAATGTTGATCTCTCCTGAATAATTTCAAGTTTCTTAATCTCTTAATATTTCCAGAGAATATGTAATGGCATTTTTACAAAAAAACAAACGGAAGACACAATTTAAATGCTATAAAAAATGTTCAAAATTTAACAAAAACAGGTAAATTAAGGGATCTTTGAAAAGTCAAAATAATTTAATTTTCAATTATTGATATGCAGCTATAATACTTGAGGGAACAAAATAATATGAATACTGCTCTGTTGAGATACAATACCAATACAATAAGAGTTATCCAAAAACTCATTTGTAACTAAATTTATCATTTTGTTCTTTTCATTAATTGAATTATATGCTATTTTAAATTGAAGAACTTTTGTATGATATCACCTGGAAACTTTTATAGTAGTATAAAAGTAAGATTTAATGGTACATAGACAGCTCAAAACAACATTAGTTTTGAGATCATTGATCCTTGACCTCTTCTGAGAGCTTGGATTTTTTCTATTTTTGGTATCACATTGTCTAACGTGACTGGAAATGATCTATT